TTATTAGGGATGTTACGTTCCTTTGAAGTATCTGATTAATATTAAGAATTCTGTATGAAATAGAAGTTATTAGTTTTGCTGTTCCATAATTAAACAATTCTTTGGAGTAGGAGGCTCCGCAAATATCTCCATCCTCAATATAAGGCAGAGGCATTCATAGCAATCGTCAGCCAGAAGTGCAGAGTGGATGATCCATCTCAGTCTCCTCCAGTAGTCCCCAGCATTAGGTTCCAGAGCTTGCTGTTCCCCTAGCCAAGCTGTTCCAGTACAATTGCAACACTAGCATCTACCCAACAATATGGAAAACTGTCCAGGTATGCCCCATACACAAAAAGCAGGACAAATCTTACCCGGCCAAATACTCTCGTATCGCTATACCCCTGATCATCAGTAAAGTGATGAAAGGTGTCATTTACAGTGCTATCAAGCAGCATCAGCTCAGCAATAACCTGCTCAGTGACACCCAGTTTGGGCTCTGCCAGGGCCACTCAGCTCCTGACTTCATTACAGCCTTGGTTCAAACATGGACAAAAGAGCTGAATTCCAGAGGCGAGGTGAGAGTGACAGTCCTTGATATCAAGGCTGCGTTCAACCGAGTGTGACATCAAAAAGCATTAGCAAAACTGAAGTCAATGGGTATCGGGGGCAACTCTCTGCTGGTTAGAGTCAAACCTAGCACACAGCAAGATAGTTATGGTAATTGGAGGTCAGTCATCTCAGCTCCAGAACATCTCTGCAGGAGTTCCTCAGGGTAGTGTCCTAGGCTCAACCATATTCAGCTGCTTCATCAATGACCTTCCCACCATCATAAGGTCAGGAGTGAGGATGTTCACTGATGTTTGCACAATGTTCAGCACCATTCACGAGTCCCCAGATACTGAAGCAGTCCATGTTCAAATGAAACAAGATCTGGACAATATCCAGGCTTGGGCTGATAAGTGGCATGTAACATTCACACTACACAAATGCCAGCCAATGAACATCTCCAATAAGGCAAAATCTAAGCATGTTACCATCATTGAATCCACTACTATCAACATCTGGGGGTGGGGGGGCGGGGTTAGCATTGACCAGAAACTCAACTGGACATGCCAGATAAATATGATGGCTACAAGATCAGGTCAGAGTCTACGAATACTGCAGCAAACAACTAACTCCCTGACTCCCCAAAGCCCGTCCACCATCTACAAGGCACAAGTTAGGAATGTAATGAAATACTCCTCACTTCCCCAGATGAATGCAGCTCCCAACAACACTCAAAAAGCTTGACATATCCAGAATAAAGTAGCCTGTTTGATTGGCACCACATCCACAAACATTCACTCCCTCCACCACTGACGCTCAGTAGCAGTAGTGTGTACTTTCTACAAGATGCACTATAGAAATTCACCAAAGATCCTAAGGCACCACCTTCCGAACCCACGGCCATTTCCATCGAAAAGGACAAGGGCAACAGATGCATGGGAACACCATCCCCTGCAAGTTCCCCACCAAGTTACTCACCATCGCGACTTGAAAATATAATGCACTTCCTTCACTGTCGCTGAGTCAAAATCCTGGAATTCCCTCTCAAGTGGCATTGTGGATCAACCTACAGCACATGGACTACAGTGGTTCAAGCAGACAGGTCACCACCACCTCACGGGCAAGTAGGAGCAGGCAAGAAGAGCTGGCCCAGCCAGCAATGCCAACATCCCATGAATGAATAAAAAAGAAACTCTCAGCTTCTATTTTTAATTACCCCATTTTGTGTGCTGCATCAACTTTTAATGCTCGAGTCCCTTTGCATTCAATCATTCTTTCAAAGTGACTAGGCCTTATGCTGCCAGTGTCCTTCCCAATGTAAAATGTTGCATTGGATGGCTCTGCCCTGCTTTCTGGTATGAGTGCCTCCTTTCCCTCAGTAACTCATATATAATTTTCATTCTGACCTAAAACAATGAGAAATGACACACAGTGAAGCTTTGCAAATTGAATGTATGATGACAGTGGTGTTTGAGGATATGCAGGCTGTTTGCTCTTTGAAATGTAGTGGCCTTGATTAATTTTGCTTAAAGGCAGTGCTTTCTCTGCCTTCGGTTGGGCAGCTTAGAGCTTATGATTTTTGTTCAATAAAGGTCGAGTACTGAGTGTTGCTACAATCCTCCAGGAATTCCACCTCGTTATACAGCCTTTCCAGTAACATCAACCAAAATTAGATGATAGCAGCAATATTTAAGGAATTGCATTTTTAGAGAGGCTTTTACATTCTGAAGGCAGCATTAAACATTTCACAATGGATAAAATACTTAAAAAAAATATAGTTACCATTGTAACATAGGGGCAGTGGTAGTCAGTTTTCACGTAGCAAGTTCCCAGGAACAGCAATTAGGTAAAACAACCATATGAAGTGCTTTGGAGAGCTTTACCTTGATAAACATATGGACATGCTGACATATGAAATTAGGAGCAGGAGCAGGAGCAGGAGCAGGCCCTTCAATCCTTTTGCACCTAGTCTGCCATTTGAAAGCATTGTGGTTGATGTGATTATGGCCTCAACCCCCGTTACTTATTATGCTTGGCACCCATGGAATCCATTGTCAGTCAAGACTCTGTCTAATTCAGACTGAGACATTGTGTGACATAGCCCCCACTGCTATCTGGGAGAGATAGTGCCAAAGATCAGCCACCCCGAGAGAAAATAGTCCTCCATACCGACACTTCATATGGTTCAAATGGGAGACCCTATCTGTGTTCCCTGGTTCTAATTCCTCCCATGAGAAGAAACATACTTTCAACAACCACCTTGTCAAACCTCCTCAGGATTATATATGTTGCAACAAGACCACCTTTCTTTTTTCCAACCTCTAAGAACTATGTAATCGTAATTTGTTGTTGATTGATCAGATTTATTTTGTGATAGAAGTTTAGAAATAAATATTAGTCAAGTCATTTCCATTTGAGTGGAAACAGTGTAATGTTTCAACTGAAACACAGCAGTGTGACGCTTTTTTTCAAAATTGTACTGAAATGTCAGCCTCGTCGCTGTATTCAAATGTCTAGAGTGGAACTTGAGTCAACAATCTCTGACTTAGGAGAGAGAAATAGCACCAAAGTCCAACAGCCAGAGAAGTCATTTAAAATAATTAGCCTTCTGTATCTAAGGGTTGAGGCTCAGTGATCCAGATGCATGAGTTCAAAATCAAGCATGGAAAGTTAAATTCTGTTAACTTCTTTATTTGCAACAAAAGGTACTGACCATTGTCATTGTTGCTGTGACGACAACTGAACAACTCATTCACTGCTCTGACTGCAGCGAGAAAGCTGTCACCCCTGTTGGTGAAATCCCATTGGAACTTCAGGATGACAGATCTGGCTGACTGTAAACTGTAGTTGTTCGTGACAGTTGCGTACAAACTTAACATGCAAGTCAGTGAGAGCAGAGTAATATCTCTTCCGAGCTGAACAGATTGGGTCCCATTCTGAGAAAGTCAGGGTCATGGAATTGGAAAATTAGAGGCAACTGGACTGGGAATTTGAATTTTCCCTTTCAAGACAAGCCCCACACAGTCTTCCCATTAGTCATAGAGTGCCGAAAAGGCCCTTCGGCCCATCAAGTCTGCACCGATAATAAACTAAAGGCATGCTAATCCCCATTTCCTGCACTTGTCCCATATCCTTGAATGTTATAATATTTGAAGTGCTCATCCAAATATGTTTTAAAGTTTTTAAGGTTTCTGGCCTCCACAACCTTGCCTGGCAGTGCATTCCCGATTCCCATCACTCTCTGAGCAAAAAAGATTTTTTATCGAATCCCCTCTGAATCTCCTGCTCTTGCCATAAAACTAAGACCCCCTGTGATTGACCCCTCAACCAAAGGGAACAGGTGATCCCTACTCACTTTGTCCATACCCCTCATTATCGTATATACACCAATCATGTTCCCCCTCAGTCTTCTCTGCTCTGAAGAAAATCTATGCCTATTTAGTTTTTCCATATAGCTTATAATTTGACTTAGAGCCCCTGCAATTTTCTGCCTCACCTCCCACAGCAGCCTGAAATATAATTCATCTGGGTCAGGGGATTTGTCCACTTTTTAAGCCCATCAGAGCCCCCAATACCTCCCCATTTCCCATATCAAACTGGGCAAGTTCCTCACAGTCCCTTTTTCCTAGTGGGAAGAGGTTTGGGTTGTAGCAGCGTACACGAGTCCTCTGACATTAGGGTTACCACTGGCCAGCCAAGAGGAAGTTGATATTTATTGTCCCACAGTATTGGAGGTGCCAGACCTGAACCTTACCCTCACATATCTTGAGGGGATAAAAGTATGCTGACCATGGGAGGAGGTAAAGGGTATGGGTTGTCAAATTCAAGAACTGGCCTGACTTGTGTTTCCTGAACCCAAGATGGAAGTCCAGCCCATTTAGTACATGCTAAAATTAATACAATTGAAGAGCTTGTATTTCTGTGGTGAAGCTTATGTGTTTGGCATGCTTAAGCTTTAATTCTGCTTGTTAGCACAAAGCTGTTAGAAAGGTCTTTAGTTAGTTACAATGGTGATGACTACTCACAAATATGGTCTGAGTTGGCTCAGGTTTGGGAGCTTACTTGCGTTGGCTCAGGAAGTTGCAATTTCAATTTTCCTCTAGCACATCTCAGCATCTGACACATTACGGATCCCTGTTGGCCTTCAATATTTTTTCAAAGTTAATTGGGTGAGAGATCAAAGATTAGAATTCCAACTGCTGGATGAATTTTTACAATTGAGTTCTCTAACAAGGTTCAAGATGTCCTTTTGCATACATTTTCATATCATGCATGTTCATTAAAAGGCTAGTTCACTGCAATTAAGTTCCCTTTCCCAATTAAATTCTTTGCAAGTGAGCAGTACGTGCCGTCAGATTTATGGCTGCCTGTAAATGATGGGCGTGAGACAAGGTACTGAACTTTACTTTATATCACCATTGCTTTGTCCTCCTTGAGGGGTACGTTCACCTTTTCCACACCATGAGTGACATAGTCTAAGTGGCAGAGGTCATGGAGGATGATTGAGGGAGGAAGGCTAGGGTGGGATGGTCAAAATTAAGAAGGCTGGTCAAGGGTGGGATCCTTTCCGTTGAAAGAAGGCTGACTGATTGGGGACCAAAGGACCAAAATGTTATACTCCTGATGACCGCTCTGAGATATTGAGTGATGCTTCAGGCTTTCAGGGAAAGTCCCACCACAAGATTCACATGCATACATAAAGCTAAGAACAATGTAATTGTGTGAGAAAAGTCGACCCATCCCTGAGCAGAATTGGCGTTCACTTCCATCCTCCATTAACATTAGCTCAACCAAAGCTCTGCTACCAATATCCCAACTCATTATTTGATCCTGCATTCCCTGTGTTTGCTGAGTTACATTAGTTCTCAGATGAGCAGTGCCTTAATTTTAATATTTTCTTCCCTTTTTTCAAATCTCTCCATATTTTGCGCCCTCCCCCTGCCAGCTCTGAGCCTTCTTTACCTCTCGTGAAATACTTACCCTTCTCTAATTCTACTTGTTCCACATTCCAAACTTTAATTGCATAACTTTTAGTGGCTGTGTCTTTATCGGTCAGGGCCTAATCTCTTGAATTCTCGCCCTGAACTTCTCAGTTTCTCTTCAATAAGCTCCTTGAGATTGAATCTTTGACCAAGCGTTTTGGATATCTTTCCTCATGTTGATGTTACATTTGTTTGGTAACATTGCTGGAAGTGCCTTGAATCATTTTATGACATAAAGTCATTTATAAAGTACAAATTGTTGCTGTTTCCAATCCTGTAATGACATTATAACCCCTAAATTGTGAACATTCATTGAGATTTTTTTTAACAACTCTCCATTGTCTGAAGCTATCTAGGCAGACCTCATAAATTTGTGCTCTACATTTCACAATGTCATTGTCCTGAGAAGCTACTCAACTCAGAAATAAAACAATTCCAAATATAAATTATATAATGTCTCCGGTCTATCCATGATAAAATGATTTGACATTTCCACAACATAACAGCAATGCTGTCATGCAGTCCTGAGGGAATGCCACATTGAGGAGCTAGCTTTCAGCTGACCTAGGTATCCTGTTTTAATGGGTTACCTTCAAAGCTGGCATGCAAGTTCTCTGGCCTTTGAAAAATGATTAGGTGCTATAAAATGATGATGTGCTGAATAAATGTTTCTGTTTGTTTCAAATAATCGATAAATTGGCCAATGTGGTGAAGCAGTAGACAAGAAATGAAATTAATTTTGCTTATGTCATAGAGAGCTCATCCAAATGTACAGAATTGTTACTCATGTTCCTGTTTCATGTTGTTGTGCCAAACTTGAGGGTCATTGGAGGACAAATTGAGCTTGATGTGCTGACTGTTCTCTGTACAGGTTTCTGGAAAGCCAGTTGTCCACCATCTTGCGCCAGCCCACTTTTAGTATTTGTCAACTCTAAGAGCGGAGACAATCAGGGAGTAAAGTTCCTCCGAAGGTTCAAACAGTTATTAAACCCGGCTCAGGTCTTTGATCTTATGAATGGAGGTCCTCACCTTGGGTAAGAAAGAAAATATTTACAGATGAACTGATGTTAGACTTGTTCTATAAATGCCTATCTGTCTGATTTCTCATGGAATATTAAGTTTGCTATAACGCTATTGAGAACATGGCTTATTCTTCTCTTATCCAGTGTCAATTAAGAGGGCAGAATTTTGCAAAAGCCCAGATTTGGTCATTTGGTACCACGGAACTTGAGTACTGCTGCAATTTAATTACAAATTTTTCACCTTGCTCTCATCAGGACAGTTGACAAGAATACCTCTTTAGGGGGAAAACCAGTATTTGTATTGTATGTGAGGAGAAAGATTAAGTTTCTTTTTACAGGCAAAAATCCATTTCTTTCAAGATCACTGACTCGTGAAATTAGCAGCATGTGGTCGAATAGAGATTTGAACAAAGAATTTCAGTAGTACCGTGTTTTGAGTTTTTTCTGCGCATATTGAGTTGCTGCAGTTATTGCACCTACCTCTGATTTATATGCAGAGTTGTTCCATGATTCATGTGGGAATGAGTGTTTCACGATGGGCAACAGTTGATAATAGGAGGGCCCAGATTCCTTCTAAAGACACTATAATCTTAGAGCAACATCGAATCTTGAAAACTTTGACTTCTATTGAACAGGTTTTATTTAAATAGCAGCTTCAGAATAGTAGAAGTTATCTTTCTTTATTAGAATGCCATGTAACTTGAAATCAGAAATGAAAACAAAACGCAACAAATAGTCATAATGCCTGACACCACTCATGGATTTTTTTCAGATGATCTTTTGTCATTGATCTGAAACTTTAACTCACATTAACTGTTTCTCTTTCCACAGGCAAGCTTGACCTGCTGACTGTTTCCAGCATTTTCTGTTGTTGTCTTTTGATTAGTTGTGTTTTTCTTTCTTTTCAGTTTACGGTTGTTTCAAAAATTTGACAATTTCCGTATTCTGGTTTGTGGAGGAGATGGAAGTGTTGGATGGGTTTTATCTGAGATTGATAAATTAAATCTACACAAGCAGGTAAGAAGCTGATACGTGAACACGAAAATGGTTCCTAACCTTTGAGAAAATGAAGGCATTTGGGTTATTTTTTGGGATTTTGTGAATTGGTCACTTCTCATCTGAATCCAGGCTGGCAAACATTTTCTATAAATTTTTCACTTGAATATTGACATATAATAAATTGACCGAAAATTACTTACCATTTCTCTCTTTTTTCACAACTGCACAATGGCAGGCTTCTACCTCATCAGACAATAGTTTACAGCGTGGTGGTCAATGGTATATTAAAGATCATCTCATGTGGCACGGGACCCCCACTCAGCTATGGCAGTCTTAAATGTACGTGCTGCAGAGGAAGACAGTGAGCAGATGGATGATTCACTGGATTGTTTTCTTTCGATGATTTTCTCAGCAAGCTGAGCTTTCTGTTTCTGCTCGCCTCCTCACAGTCTCTCTATCATACTTATCTTGGTGCACTGGCCCCTTCCTCCATAAGAGACAGAAAGTTGTGCAAATGCTGCAGGAGTGTTGGCTTTCTCTGCTCAGTTAAGGTGCTACTGCATACTGCATCACCACCTAGAGATTTGCCCATGGCGAATGAGTCAATAACTTGGCTAAGTTTGTAGGTGCAATGTGCAACTCTCCCATGACAGGCGGGCTTTCTGTGGTGTCTGGAACCTTCTTGTTGACACTATCCTCCCTAGAGTACAGCTCACACTAGTGTTCCATCTTTGTTTTCAGCTTTTACTACAGTCATTGATGACATCTTACTTTTGTTTTAAATGAATCTGTTTATTTGCTGATAGACCTGTTGGCTTTTTGATTCTTCTATACACATCCCTAACATTCACCGTGTCAAAGAACATTTCATTATTCTGACAATGTTTGTAATCTGTGATCATTGTCATGAGGCCTAGCAGTGTATTGGAGTTTACTTTGAGCAGCCTTTAGTGCATTCAAAGTCTTCTGTCTCAGATCTCTGTTAATTCATGAGAGAATCCTGCTTGGTTTTAATGAGGATGTTCACATTATGGTGATGGAATTTAAACCAGTCAGCATTATTTCACTCTTGCTTCCAGTATGTCAAATGCAGCAAATGTGAATAGTTTATCAAAGTATATTCATTTTGCCTTTCCACTCTGTGGGGGATTAGGACATTAGTTCAATTGAGAACTATTGGTTTTTATCTGAGTAGGCAGTACTGCTGTTGTTGATGAGGACAACATTTCTGATTTGAATGGGAAAAAAAACTTCAAGAGTTGGATCAGCACCCTACTTCATACCAGGGAGTGATCCCTATCACAGTCAGTAGTATGGTAACTGCATGTCTTGAGAATGTCATTCAGAAAGTCAGGTGATAATCAGATTCATCTGGAACCAATACCCTGATCTTGGATGTCTTCAGAACACCTTTGTGCATCATTTGATCTGAAAGAAGGTACTAATTGTATAAAGCTCATGCTAGCTGCAAATCTCAAGTTATTTGTCCATCTGTCATTAACCTTCTCCAGGCAATGATGTCTGAGGCAGGACAGCCACCCGTCATGGTCTACGGGACTACTCATGCATTGAAATGATGAAAAATGTTTTGTTGCAGGTGTTCTGGTGATAGTCTCAAGCTCCTCGTAGTTTTGGCCTTTTCCCTCTGCAGTGGATCATAGTATTAGAGCATTGATATTCATAATCTGTTTGAATTGAGAAATAGATGAGAGAACACATTCTGAGCCATTCTTGAAGGGGTTGTAATATTGAGAGTAACAAGTTCTCATAATGAAATCTACACCTTGCTCATACATTTCCTCCGAATTCTTCCCCTGCCAGATGCATGTGTAATATTATTCCTTCAGTGATCTACTCTCAGCAAGCCAGGTCCCTTCTGAGGAAACTATGTAAAGTCCATTGAGTTCCATGTCAATCATAGGCTGCCTTGCCATGTTATTGACTAATAGCAAGTTGTCTGTCAATGACCATGCTCATTGTCTTGATATTCCAGCCTGCTAGATAAGGAGTTGACATTTTTATTTTATTCTTTGTCTGGTGCAATGGGTACTATCCACTTGCTGAGCAGAGTCTTAAAAATTTCTGCACCCATTCGAGTTGATGGGCAGATCAGCAACTTACTATTGGAAACTCCCCAATTTGAAGTGTGTGGTAGCTGATCGGTGGGCCATGATTATCCCTCCCACTGTCAGAGTCAGCCTGTAGGACCCACGCTGTACATTTATCAAGTTGGACTTGTCAATTATACTTGCAGATTCACATATTGTCTTCTTCAGGGCGCAAGCCTGGGTATCATTCATCATTTCTGAGCTGCCCAATTTCAGAGAGACCCTATCAATCTCCCCAGTTAAGTCCAAAGGAATTTAAGACAGTTGTTTGGACTCAACTGTGTTATAGGAGTCGCCAGAAAGATGGCATATTTAGATGTTGGTCCACCTTTTGGCTCCACTCCAGGTTATTGGTGAGGGTTTACACCTTCATCTCTCCTGAAGTATCTACAAGGCAGTGCCCACTACTGGGAGTTTGGTTCTTTAATGCCAGACTGTGTCCAAATGCTGCTGGACCTGTAAACCCAAATCTGGGAGTCAAATCTCCTCTGAGATCCTCTGAAGCTTTGACCTTGAACGATGAGGGGCCGAGTTTCAGCATGTTGCCGCAAGGAGCCTATTTACTGACAGCAAGAGACTTGAACATTTGACTCCTTTTCTCAGTGCTGCTAGCCAGTGGAGTGAAGAGAAACTGAAAAGTAAACTAGCACAGAAAGGTTGAATGCATGTTCACTCTGTTATCCCAAACGCTAGACATGCACCATCAGGCTATGATGGTATCATGTTAAATATCGTTTTCCATATAACTCGTTGCTTATTGACAGATCAGACATATCAACAGTTTATCAAATCTCTCAATCCCTTTCCCTGTAAGTAGCTTCATCTCATTGCTTCTCACTTCTATCATCCTTTGTGTAATGTTTGCAACATTTTTCTTCAGTTCACGCATAGAATATGTGTGTCATGGACTGGACCAGCATTTATTTCATGTCCCGAATTACCCTTGAGAAGGTGGTAGTGAGCTGCCTTCTTGAACCACTACGGTACATGTACTGTACGTAGATCCACAATGTCCTTAGGGAGAGAATGCTAGGGCTTTGACCCAGCAATTCTGAACTAATGGCAAGACTTTTTTCAAGTCAGGATGATGAGTAGTTTGTTCGGGAATTTTGTAGGTGGTGGTGTTCCCATGTATCTACTGCCCCTGTCCTTCTAGATAGAAGTGGTCATAGGTTTGGAAGATGCTGTCTAAGGATGTTTAGTGAATTTCTGCCATGCATCTTGTAAATGGTACACACGGCAGCTACTAAGTGTCAATGATGAAGGGAATGGATATTTGCAGATGTGGTGCCAATCAAGCATGTTGCTTTCTTTTGGATGATGTCAAGCTTTACTCCCACACTCCTGGCTTGTGATAGATTTGTATCTCTCCCGCCATTAACTGCATGAGCTAATGGGGAAAAATTCCTGGGGCTTTCAGAACACGTTAACTTTTCAAGGCACTCCGTTTTAACACTATTATACCATAACTTATCCACCTTAGATGCTCCCCATTGGCCCCGTTAGCCGGGAGATCCAAGCTGAGTTCATTGGTTTGACATTTTCGTCTCTGCAACCTGTTTAAGTATCAATCATAGATTTGGAGTTTATGCTTCTCATTCATGTTAGTAACATATTAGAAATGTTCTTGTCCTAATCATAAGAGCAGACGTGGGGATCATGTGGACAGTGTTTTGTAAAATTAGCAGCTCCTACTGAAACAGTCCCTGCTCATTTGCAACAAGGCATGGACGCTTTCAGGCTTGAGTTGCTAAATGACAAGTACCATTTGTCCTGCTAAGGTATTGGGCTCTGACCATCTCCAGCAAGTGAGAATCCAACCATCTTCACTTGACATTCAATGATATCGCTGTTGCTGAATCCCACTTTATCAACATCTTCAAGGTTACCATTGACCAGAATCTGAACTGGATCAGCCATAAAAATGCTTGTCTGCAAGAGCAGGACAGACGCTGGGAATTGTGCAGCGAGTAGTAAAATAACTCCACGAAGGCTGTTATCGCTTTGCCAAGTTACCCTTTATTTATATGTGCATAGTACATGACACTGACCAAGGTAACACAGAGCCAGCTCCTCGAGTGAACAGAACCCCTGACACTCCTGTTTTTATCTGTCAGCCAGGGCTCCCTGATTGGACCACGTTGAGCCCCAGTCAGGGAACTCATATTCTATGAGATCCACCTGGCTGATCTTGTTCCAGGCACTACAAATAGCTAATTTCTTGACTCCTCAAAACCTGTCCATCATTGACAAGGCACATTGTCAGGAATGTGATGGAATGATCTTCAGTTTTCTGGATGAGTGCAGTTCCAAGAAACATTCAAGAAGCTTGATACCATCCATGACAAAGCGGTTTGCATGATGCAAATCAATCAGTCAATCACACCCACTCACTTCACCACTGGTGCAGCATATTTGGAGCGTGTACCGTCTATCAAATGAGCAACTTGTCAGAACCCATCTGACAGTACCCTCCAACCCGCAACCTTTATCTCCTAGTAGGACAAGGACCGTAGATGCATGGAGAAAGAACCATCTCTGAGTTCCCCTCAAAGCCACACACTCCAACCTGATGTGGAACCATGTCACTGTTCAGTCACTGTTCCTGGATAAAAATCGAATTCCCTTCCAAACATATACCACACCGGCTGCAGCAGTTCATGGATGCAGCCCATCACTATCTTCTCCAGGGCATTTAGAAATGGGAAGTAAATGCAGTCCTTGCCATTGATAGCAAAGTTCCATGAATACATGAATTTAATAAGTAAGTATTATATAAGTAAATAGAACCAAGCTTTGGGTGCAGCCTGTATTCTGTTTAAAAATAATCCATTGATTTTTCATCTTTGAGACCTTTTTTAAGGCCAATTTTCTATCCAATGAAATACTTCCATTCTGAAAAATAATTTTAGCCATTAATCATTGAGATAGGCCCATGAGGAAAATGGAATGATACATTAACATCATTCTCCTATTCCAGTATTAACGTTGTCACCCAAAGACTTCAGCAGATTGGTTAAATATGAGTTACCCTTTTCTCAAACTATGCTGATTGTATTTTATCCTTGGCCTGGCCTTTATCTATTAGATCTAATAAGATCATTTTCAAAACCTTTCCTACAACAGAAGTTAACTTGACTGTTCACTGGCTTCAGTCCAGTATCTGCAACATTTTGTTCAATTGTATATTAATATTAACTGCTGCCAATCTCACTTGAATTTACCAAACTTACAAGAAAGTCATTTGAATGTTCACCAACTTCAGACCTCACCTTGTTTCAGGTTCAAAGTTATCAGAGCAGGCAATTGGCTTATTTGATAGAGAGATAGTAGGAACTGCCGATGCTGGAGAATCTGAGATAACAAGGTGTAGAGCTGGATGAACACAGCAGGCCAAGCCTC